GGGCGCGCGTAGAGTTCCAGATTGGCCGACGTGGCTAGTAGCGACCGTTGCACTTGCGGTACATCGTGAGGTGAAACGAAGCAAAGCGATGTCGGTAAGAGTTTGATACGCGTCAGTGTGGCTCTACAGAAAGAAGACATTCGCTCTATGATGCCCCAAAGGAATGCTGAAAAATTTCAAGATATATATATTTTTTTTTGTCTAAAAGCGGCGACTTCTCAGGGCCCCTCAACACTTTGCATTTTCTAAAGTTTTAAACAAATGTCTGCTCTGTTCAGGCAAAACAAAAAACAAAATACAAACGTGAACATGTTTATTTAATTTTATTTTCCGGTAATATCAAACCAGTGTTGTACACGTTCTTCCGAGATAAGAGCGAATTCTCGTTTCTAGTTCCTTATCAATCTTGAAACGAGTTCCTGTTACAAGCTGTGATTCAAAAGGCACGAATACTCGTTCCATTCCTAATAGTGGAATGGGTTGTTACACACAATACAACGCAATGTAATACAATACTTTTTTTTTTACAATTTAATTTTTACATAAGCTTAATTCCCACGCAGGCTTGTATGTGGGACGCGGCAGTAGTGGTATGGTAGAACACAATCGACATTATTTTGGTAATATTTCATACTGCTGCCACTATTACCGTTACATTAGCGTATTTTAATTAAATATTCTGCTAAATATTTTCTTGCGAAAATAAAGCAAGCAAGTGAGAATATTCCCATAATCGAATCGCCACAATCACATTTGCTCCAGTTCTTTTTTTTTTCTTCTTCTTGACTATTTTGGGAATGTTTCTATCACTTGAGGTCGGAAGTATAAATATATCCGCTGATAGAAAATCTAAATGCCAATTAAATTCCCCTAAAGTTTAAAAAAGAAGCGCTGTTCCTTCTACCGTTCCCTGGAAAACGTAACCAGCTCATGTTCCAGTTCCGAGGCAAAATGAACAGGGGCGTTTTTTTTCTAAAAAGAAAGTTTTCCAGGAGCGTCGTTTCTTCGAAGGCGTTCTGTACAACATTGCATCAAACAAAGCCATCGCCGATATTTCATCAAGGTCGTCTTCGGAACCACACATCTTAATTTATCAAAACAGGGAGTCTTCTATTTTTAATTTTTTTTTTTTTTTTAGGTTTTGGGCCAAACTGATGTTTCCTTAGGGTTGCGGGAATCCCGTTCCTTTATTTTCTTCGCCATAAGCATCGATTTTCTGTTCGCCCCTGAACATTAAGACCGAGAAACAGCAAATCTACAGTAAAAAAAGCAAACCCAAATCAAACAACCCCAAATTCGATGAAAAAAATAAGCCGCGAAACCTCGAAGCCCTGGCCATATATAACGCACCTTAAGGGGTATTCACACGAGGGAGAAATCCCGGGGATTTCTCCCCGACACGCGCGCATCACGAGATGAAAACGCGAGGCTTTTGCACATCGCAAAGCCTGACGTTTTCGTCGTGGGATGCGCGTGCCGGGGAGAAATCCCCGGGATTTCTCCCTCGTGTGAATACCCCTTTAAGGGGGGAGGCTGGTCTTTAACTTTTTGTTTTTTATCTTTCAGTTATCGTGCTGCAATTTACTGTACTGATGTATTTCTCAGTGGTGATTTCAAATATGCAACTAGTTTTCAGATAGCTTTACTAGATCCCGAGTTATTAACACATTTGTAATTTTCATTAGGTCATCCTTACGGGCCTTTAGCATAAAATTGTTCACCATATATCAGAAATGTTTATAGGATTGCATTCACCAAGACATGTTTTGTGCGGTGATGCTATTTTAAGTCTAGACTAATTATATTACATTGGTAAAACACATCTGCAACCAAGTTGCACAAAACGGGAGGTTATATCTTTTTGAGACTAATTAATTAAAATTATTGTATGAGATAAAAAGCCACAAAAATAGCATCACCGCACAAAACATGTCTGGGGGAATGCAATTCTATAAAAATTTCCGATATATTCTGAAGAATTTTACGCTAACGACCCGTAAAGAGGACCTAATTAAAATGACTAATCTATTTATAACTCAGGATGTAGTAAAGCTATCTGAAAACTAATTGCATATTTGAAATCACCACTGAGAAATACATCAGTACAGTAAATTGCAGCACGATAACTGAAAGATAAAAAACGCGAAGTTAAAGACCAGCCTCCCCCCTTAAAGAAGATTGAGGGCGCAGGTGAGCTGTCGAATATTAGGCAACGTAATAAAACCGGAGACACGGAAACAAAGGCGGCACGTACACAACACCGTCTCGATGTAGTGTACGTCTTTTTTTTTTTCGTGTTTCCGGTTTCATTATGTTGCCTTCAAGAAGACCAGACCTTTTTTTCATATCCTTCGCTTTCTACTGATTTTCCTGCTCGCGACCAATTTATTTTTAGGAGGGTCACGGAGGCGACGAACACCTGCCTGGTGCCCAAGGGCCAGTGCCCCGCTGCAGCCAAACCTGGCAAAGACATCGGCCAGAATCTTCAAAAGGGCTTCTCCGACATCTGGAGTCAGTGGAGCGGCAACGCAGCTTCGACCGTCAGCTTCACCCTGGGAAGCCTGATGCTGGTGCTGGCACCGCTGGTCGCCCAGAAACTACTCTGAACTCATCTAAATTTGCATAATCCTAATTTAAACAATGATCTTGCTTTCACCCTCACGTATTTTGTCTGCAAATAAAGAAATTGCGTTCCCCACACAGAGGAGTGTTCACCGCGAATTGACCTTTGTTTCATTAAGCCTCTTCGACAGAGCAGACCCCTTTTCCCTTACCATTGCTTTCTGCTGTCGCCATTGTTCGATCGAGGGCTCCGACCCCGCACCAATCTCTGTGCGTATTTTGTCACTTCTGACCGTTATTTTTTGAGCAGAGGTAGTACCAGTAAAAAAGCAGGAAGAACAATGAATACAGCGGCACGATGCCAGTGTGTTCGGACGGGTCGAGGAACGCAGGGCTGCCCTCCATTTGTAGTTCGCAGACAACCCACCAGACGGCGCTCGTTACTCGAGAAAACTAGAGTAACTGCATGTGCTCCGCTTGGGAAGCAGAGTCTATATAGTTACTCTAGAGAAAACGAGTTTAGAAGCTTTGACTAGGGGGCGCAAGCCGCCGCCCGATTTAAAGACGGTAGATCGGAAGGCGCAAGCGACTTCCGATCGCACAGTCTTCGCAAGCATGTTGAGCTTGCTTATGTCACCAGTACTTGAAAGCATAAATGTTACACGGACAACACATTTTGGAGATTTAACGAGGGCCTTCGGCTGTACAATATTACATCTTGTAGGAGGCAAGTTGGTTTACAAGAATGCTCGAAAAATTTTAACCAATTTTGACCTCTTTCGCTTTTTTTTTTTCTTCTTGGCGTTCACCTGGAGAGTTGGTGGTGAAACGTTTCATCCACATTTCAAGCAGCGGTGTTAACGTGGCCTTCGTTCATTTTTTTTTTATAAACCGGAAGTTCTCTGGGACGTCAGGGACTAGAGCACCACCTGGTGGCGTTTGTCATAAAAAGAGCCTATAGTGCAGTGGGCAATCGTTGCAGGTGATGCCAGAGCTTTGCTGTCCAGCCATCTTCACATCGTGGATTGGAGCCTCATTTTTTTTTTTACTTTTATCGTTTGCCTATCACTTGAAGTTTTCTTTGCGCATTTCCATTGTATGTAAATTAAAGGCTTATCAAGCAATCAGAACCTGGTGCTCTCCTGAGCAAATCGGGGTTGAGCTTTCTTTCTACCTTCCACTTCGTTCCTCAGTTACATAAATTATCTCCCGAAACAAATCAAAATACAAAAAAGAGAAAAAAAACGAAAAAAAACAGGGAAAGTAATTCTTATTGCAAGCAAGTCAAAATGAGAAAAAAAAAAAAAGAAATAAAGCTTTTTCACTAACAAGAAGAAATGAAGATGTTTTTTGTTCTGGTGTAACGGGTTTACATCAATAAAAAAAATTATTAATTGAAATATACTTTTTTGAAGTATACAGTAATTCTTTCTTAAGCATAGTAATGCTTAAGAAAGAATAATGCAATAGACAGCCCTACTATCCTCACCTCTGTTCACTTTCGCATTCCACTTAGAAAAAAAAACTCTAGAGATCGAAGAGTATTTTACCCAGACCTCCATTCGAAACGCATCACCGGTTTCGCGTGTCCAACATGTTTTAAACACGCAATTTACTGACGTCGATATTTTTAGTACAAACCTGTCTTTTGGAGAATGAGAATTTTGATGCATGTGTTTTTAATTGGCATATAGACATGCTTGTGTGCTTGCATATTTTTTCACTACTATCTATTTTGTGTGTATTTCAAGTGTGTGTGCTTAACCCAGTAGGCTTTCGAGCTGTTGGTTAGCACAAGGGAAAAATAAACGTTGATTGATTGATAGTTCCGAATGATCTTCCGATTGAATCAATTGGTACGTTATGTTTAAAATAGATATATTAATTTAAAAAGAACCTCTTTTCTAGCTACGCTGATTTAAATAAGATTAATCGGATTCAAATCAAGTAAGTCCTATTTCAATAAAAAAAATATTTCTTTTATTTTTTTTAAGCGTGTTTGTTGTTGTTTTCCTCACCCGGATTTCTGCCAACTTTAGACCTGGAAAGGTTATCAAGAGCACTTTTACTGCCAACACGAAATCTCGTAAAGCCTGTTGCACTTCAGTACGGGGACTTTGTCGGTGGCTCTGCAATCGGAGAGCAGAACAAAAGGATAATATCGCGATATAGCTTCTAATTTAGCGCCGACAAAGCGCTCCACCGCACGCGTGAACTGATTTCTTGCCGTGCCGACGGCAGAGCCGGGTTAGTGGACTGTTTTGGTCGGCTGTTTCTGATTGGACCGATCGTGGAACCCAAGCACGCGGCGTTAGCTGTCTCCCGTTATCGTCCGATAGGCAACATAGCCGAGACATCAAACTTCCATATCGGTGTCGAGTGGACTGCGTTGTTTTTCCTCCAAGCGCGTGTGTATATATAAACTATGCGTGAATAGGGAGTCCAACTTGCCTGACATGGAGATCTTCACAGCACTCAAGACAGCCGTCGTGCTCATCTGCGCGGTCCACGTTCAGAACGGTGGGTGTTCCAGAAGCTTTTTCTGGCAGTATGTAGTTCTGTGCAGCGCTGTAAGAGGAGTCGCAAGCGCAAGCGCTTGGCTTTCGAAAGAGATTTTTTCCTCGATTGAATTTAGAGTTCAGTTTCCCCGTTCTGTAGACCAATCCCATAACCGATTCTTGCGCACTCCAAGCTTCGTCTCCTCGTCTGCAGAACAGGTTCTGGGCATGCGCGGTAGCTCTCTTCTGTGGAATAGCAGACGCCTCGCACGTCTCGGTGACTATACGGGCTAGTTGGTTAGACATTGTGATGGTTTGCGTGGGGGGATCCGTACATGGTCCGCAATTCCGATGAAGTGATCGAATTCTTGAAAACAACACAGGCCATTACAGCTCTTTCGGTGGACGTGAAAGACCTGTACTACAACACTCAACAGGAAAGAGCAATACAGGTAGTGGAAGAGGGCATCGACGCTTACGGCTCTGTAAGTTTTCAAAACCAGTGTGGAATCAACCTCAGAGATTTCCTAAGCCTCTTACGGACCTATTTAAGTTCCTTAAATGTCATCTTCGACGACAACGTATCCACTCAAAGAAAAAGGCATCTGCATAGGGTCGTGCATAGCAACAGCTTTATGTAACCTGTTTATAGCAAAAGGAAACGGAGTTACAGTGGTTTTTCCAGAAGAATAGAGTTAGCAGGTGCTTCAGATATGTTGACGATTTTTCGGTTTGTTTCCAATTACACCAAATGACAGACACAGCACGCTCAAAGATCAAACAGAAGTTTTGGGAGGCGCACAAAGGACTCGAATTCACCTTTGAATTACCTGAGAGAGGTAGCCTAACAACTACATGACTTTTGAGAACACACACACGTGCTGGATGTAAAAAAAACAAGAAGCGAGAAAGGAATACTGCTGTATTGCTCTGGACACACCAAGTTACTCAAGGGGAGTGTTGCATTAGGATGCATCTGGCAAGCTATACAAAATTCGTGTCAACACAAAGTCTTAGAAGGCCTCGGGAGACAGAGAAGCAGACTAAGTGCAAGCGGTTACCCAGAACCCTTACTGGTCGCTGACGCAGAAAAATGCATTTCCAATCTGTCATAAAAAGCAAAAAACAAAGAGAAGATTGATGGCCACTGGTGGTACTGCCATACATACACAATTTCTCACATCGAATGAAGAAGATCGCCAAAAGGTTCGAAGACAGGGTGGCATTATCTGCCCCTTTTAAGCTCAAAGGATTGTGCAAAGAAGTGAACAAACTGGAGGACGAAACGAATGGCCACACGTTGGGTCAGGTGAAACACAAACGCAAACTTCGTTGAATGTGTGGAAGGAATGATATACAAAATAGCCCTGAAGTGCGAAATATCCTACATCGGGCAGACCGGAAGATGTGTAAACGAAAGACACAGATAACACAAACATGCATGCGGACAACTGCAAGCACCAGGCAACCTAGCCGCGCGTTGTGCAAAATGCAGCTGCGAAGCTCTGCTTGAAGCCACTTCTACCTTGTTACAGAGTTGTTAGTCTGCGCCATTCATGTATGTTGCTTTTCTTCTATCCTGTTTTAGTTTACATTTTATCAAGTGCGTTTTTCTTGCATCTACGCAGCGCACCAAACCATCACAATTCGTCTGCTTCTTTTGCAAAGGTTGTGGTGTCGTCAGAACGCCGAGCTCCCATTGGCTCTGTTTGAAAGATAGTGAATAAACCTCAAAGCAAGCTGCCTTGGGGTCTACCCACTATCCTTCAAGCAGAGCCAATCAGAGCTCGGCCCTCTGACGTCACCACAGCCCCCAGCAAAAGCAGACGAACTTGCGCTCCGCATAAGCATGATTCACCAGTGTGATAACTAAGCACTGAAATACTTACATAGGTGACGTCTCTGTACCTAACTTGTGATGTAGAGGCTAAAGCACAAAGCAGGTGTAGTGGTTGATTCAAGACAAAAATAATATGGAATTCTGGATGCGCGGAAGTACAAGTTACGGCGTCCGTGGGTAGTAAACTCCAATCTGTTTTCTTCCTACGCCCTTGCACAGAATTGCCAAAGGGGAAGGCGCGTAATGTTTGAACGGAATGGAATCCCTGCTTTGTTGGAATTCCAAAACACTTAACCTACACACACAAAAATGTCTATGGCGCTGACCGGAGTGCCTTCATTCGAACGGTCTATTGTTTTCAAGGGACGGCTCTGAACGGACGATTTTGTGGATTTTGTGGTATCTGCATAACTGCTTGTGGGGAAAATCACTTGTGTTAAAAAAAATTGTCTGAAAAACACTGTTGCCTCTAAAACACGACAAAGCACATAAGAGCGCGAGCATTCAGTTCTCAAGGAGTTCAACTTTGCTATCTTCCAAGCAACCAGGTAACCATAAAATAGATATAGTCGAAAGTGTTAGAGCTTTGGGTGTAATATTTAATCAATACATGCTATGGGATGATATGGTACATTATACATGTCAAAAACTCTCAAAGGTCGTAGGTGTTACGTACAAACATCGTCATATACCCCCAATGTCAGCAATGCTTCTTATATATCATTCTTTATTTTATGTGCATTATAATTACTGCTTCTTGGTTTGGGGGATTACAACGTCCACAAATCTTAAGCAGATACAAATTCTGCAATAAAAGAGTTGTCCGTATTATGTGCCATGCTGCATACGATGCCCATACAATACCATTGTTTAAAAAAAAACTTAATATTGTACATATTCCAAATTTCTATAATTATAAACTTTGTATTACTTATAAAAAGTCTTTTCATAACAAAGAAAACGTATTTCTGTCTATTTCACAGATTATAATTAGAGACACGATTTATGCTACGCGCAGCGCCAATACGTGGCTGGTGCCGCACTCCAGAACAAATTATGGAATTCAGATGTTGCGAAATACTCTTCCTCGTCTTTTAAATCGTTTGGGGGAATTAAACATAGAACTTTTGACTTTGGTAAACAAATATTTGCTTTCATTTTTTGTTGAGCTTTCAGTGTTAGTGTAGGTGCATGACGTGTGGCGATTTTTCATTTTCATTTTTGTTTTGCTTTTGTTTTATATCAAACGAGTAATAACATAAAACATTTCTTTTTGTGTTAACTGTTTTGTGTGCTGTCTCAGCTGCTGCTGAGGGGAGATGGAGACCTGTCAAGCAACTGTTATGTTGCTTTTTTCTCTGTCTTCCTTCTCCAAATGGAGAAAAATAAAGCATTTTGATTTGATTTGAATATAACGGTCTTTCAAGTTTATAAACCCTAATACCCGTAGCCTTCTTATGTGCTTCAAACTATTATAAAACGAAGCATCGTTCAGCTCTTTACTGCGTCGGGCCTGGCGGTCAATATTTGCGACAATGAAATCGCAGTGAAATAAATAAATTTAGCAAAAGCAAAGAAGTAAATTTTGATTCCGATCTTATAATTGAAGTGCGTATCATGTATGTAATTGACATGGTAACCCAGGAGCGGTGGGGAACGGAATGGACTACACAAAGCTCCAAAGCTCCATGGTAACCCAGGAGCGGGGGAAAAAAAGGACAGATAACACGAAGCTCAACAGCTTTCTGATGTCCGTCTCGTTTTTCCCACGCTCCTGGATTACCATGCTAGTATTGAACAAGCTTGCCTGCACACTTGCTTTAGTATAAATAATATAATTGATGCTTTATTTTGAATAGCCCCTCCTTTCTCTGGATGGCGTCGATAACCTAACATTATGTCTAATAAGATTAAAATGTAATGTGATATGTAATGTAATGCAACAACAAACACTCGTTCATTCTCTGTATCTCTTCCACTAAAGTTTCTCACCTGAAAAACAAAAACAAACAAACAAAATAACTTCATATTTGTATATACAGGGTGCTTGATTTCAAATCGAAGAGATTTATGTAAGAAAGTTGCGAAAGGTTGAAAAATGCGGTCATCCAGGTGAGTTATAAGGTCAGGAGGACAAAATACAAGGGGCTAATCGTCTTAAGCCAAATAATTAACAGAAATTTGATCATCACCTTCTGAAGTAGCGAACATAAACACATTGCTCAAGATTTGAAACGTACCGAACGTCACAGTTCTTTTACACGACACTCAGCAAGTTTTTAATTAAAACCATATCTCTTTATTCGCACTACTTAAGGAGTTAATTGTCAAAACCTTTACTTAATAGTTCCACTTATCGTGGTTATTATCCCCCTATTTTATGTCCCCCTAGCAGTATAACTCACCTGGGGCTCTAATCTAGAAACGGCGAAAAAGTCGGCGAGGAATTCGGCGGCCATGATTGGCCGGCGCTGTGCTTGACCTTACGCTGGCCAATCACGGCGGTCGAATTCCCCGCCCACTTTTTTGCCAAGTGTCCAAATCAAAGCCCATGCACAGACTGCATTATTCTGCCTTCCGTAGCTTATTTTAAAAATACACCTTTCCAAATTAAAATCCGACACAATATATAGGGTATTGGATGAAACGCAGGTCAACACATTCTGCGAAAAATTTGCCGCGCGAGCAGCGTCGCGAAGTTTTTGCAGCACTGCCAGTTGCCCACGCGGGAAGCGTTTGTATGCACCCATGTCTGAAAAGTGTTCCAGTCGTCGTCGTACAAAGGGGATAGGGCGAGACATCATGAGATATGATATCGTTTAACCATGTTTCACCTCTCGAGATCTGTAGTTTCCACCTATTGTTCTTTCACTGCTGGCGTCCGCACTCTCTATACTTGTAAGCCGCGGCGGTTTTCTTTGAAGGGCGAACATGAGCTACACTTGGAAAGGTCCACATAGATTTATGCAATTGTATAAGATAGCGTGCTTCTTTGTCATCTTATTTGGACAATGACAGAAATTTTTGTGACATTTACTTTTACCATAGGCAGTCAAACAACCACGTAGTGTCTAGAGCTGAATGATGTCCTGTCTGTCATCAAAATTCGAAAATATAAGGACGAATGCAGTGATTCCGTTGGAGTTCGAAAAACGTTGTGTTCAGAATTCGATTAATACGTATAATCCAAAATTTATTTCAAGCAATAAAAGTATAGAGTGTAGCAAATCCTGTTACCTGTCCTAGACAGAAGCGGTAAAAATAAATCAGTGCTTTTCTATAAAATAATGTCCGTTTTGCTCAATCTAGAACAAATGTTTATTCGAATGTTTAAGCGTGTTTATTTCCTCGAATAAAGCGTGCGAAAACCGTGAGAAACCATCGGAGTTAAAAACATAACTGCTGAGAATCTGCAAGGAGGCAAAAAAAAAGAGAGAGAGAGAGAGAGAGAGAGAACAAAAGTTACACAAAATAAGAGTTGCAGATGAACTCGTGAAGGCAATGCGACGTCACGCTCATGTCTGTGAAATGGAAAATATTCACGACATTAGGGAGTTTTACGGAACCGGTTTTTGCATATCCGGTACGGTATGCGGTGGACCTTCCGGTACGAACTGCGCATATACTATCGCAGAAGGCTCGCACATACTAACCTTGATTTTTTTTTTAATCGGAATGAATTTACGACCTATTTATAACGTATTTTGTTAATGCAATTAACGCGAAGGTGCGGGCGAGCTGGACAAAATAATCTAACCGGGCGGATTGTTTTCAGCGCGCACTAGTCACCCAGCTGTGCTTGGAGGTTTGTGTTTGTCCTTTGTCCCCCTTGTTCCCTTTTTGCGCGGATTATTACAGTTATTCTGTGCTTTAACGAGCTGGCGTAAGCGGCGCTGAAGGCGCATGCTGGTGCTGCTGCGGCTTCCTACCTTCGCCGATGCAGTTTTTTTTTGTTTTTTTTTCTTCTTCATGTTGTTTCGCCGCGCCGTGTGTTTCAGCGCGGTGTTACAAAACAGCTGTACACTAAGTGAAAAGAAATGACTCCCATTGCTGAAAATAAAGGTTCTTTATTATAAAATTTCAAAGAGGATTCACTCGTCTTCTTCGCCCCCCTTTTTTCTCAAAGGGAAGCACACATTTTGAAATACAAATGCCTGCAGGACGAATGTCTTCTTACCTTGTATTCGGGAGCTTTCCTTTCTCCCTCTCCATTTTTTCCCCCTAAACTTAAAAGAGCGCCCCCCCCCCCCCCCCCTCCCTTTTCCTCTTGTCCAATCTTTAGATAAACTCTCGCGTAAAAACACTCGCAAAAAACAAAGCATTTTTTTATGTTGATCAGGTCAAGTGGATTGGCGCGGTATATACAATTATTGTCCAAATGTTACGACTCCATCTCTAATGTACTGGAAAGGTTTCCGAGATTATTTGCGATGTCGACTGGTAGGCTTTTGTACAACCGAACTACGGTCGCCCTAAGTGACGACCAACAACTGACATAGAGTAAGCTAAGGCCATCGGGAACCGCGATGTTTCCCGTGTCTAGGTTACGCGGCTGGAGATGAGTGCGACGTCCTGCCCACCATTCGCTGCTCCCGGCACTACTTCCAGGCCATGAACACCAACATGCACCGGCTGGCTACGATGCGGACCGGAGACATCGACGAGGAAATGGACACTCTGCTCAGGTATTCTTCGTCCTCAAAGTCCTCCGTACCTTCTTTTCAGACCACGCAACGAAGCAGTGACTGTCCCGGCCTGGTTTCGCACGACAGTTTTCCTTCAACAAGGGGATTAAACGTCATGTAGTTTTAGGTCAAGTGCGCAGCGTCACAGATGTTCGCTAATCACCCGAGCCCGCGGGAAACCGAGGAAGAATCTGCGACCGGCCTACAAAATATCCGTCATTCCGTCGGAGTGCATGCCCTGTCGATTTTGGGGAAGGATTGAGGCCAGCCAGAATGGTATCCCTATGGTATCTTCTAGTATTTTCTCTTTCGCAAACCTTCTCTCTCTTGCTGTCTTTCTTTCTCTTTTTGTCTCCCCTTCCTTCTGGTCCATGAAGGCTCCCAACGTCGCAAACCCGTTCACTAAAAGGCTTCCGCCGACTCAACTACATGCGACTCTGCCGTGCGAATGCTCGCTCGGATTTTCCCTGTCGCCTCCTGCTTCCGGCAACGTTTCTTCCTATCACCTTTATGGCGTACTGGGTTTTCTCCGGTGATAAAAATCTGCATGACAGGTCGCTGAAATCTGATGTGCTATAAAACTACAATGGAAATCAGCGTTGATGGAAACTGTCAGTGTTGTTTGTGAATCGTGAGTGGCCGGTAATGGTGGGTAATATTTGCTATAAAAAGTTATCTGTTATCTCGGTATAAAAGAAATAAACGATAAATAGTATTAAACAACAAAATAACAAGTTGAGACATTGTAAAGTGGCTATGTAGAAGGCGCCATTATTTCTTTGATGTTCTTACTAAGGGACCGATTTGTCTGTGACGACATGTACACATAGTTTTCGATTATTTTTCTTCTTATTACCTTAAGCTAAATGACCCATGGTACTTACTGGATTAGGTATACTCGTTTGAGTGGGACCGAGAGCTTACGACTCCTTGAGTTTCACTGCGACGCGTTGGGCGGAGTTGGAACGAGGCATGTGCCCGTGTCCAAATAGCATTTGAACGTTTCCGGTCCAGCTATAAACAATATATTTTCGTTGTTGTTGTTGTTGTTTTGTTGTTTTTTTTTTGTCTTTTTTTTTTCAGTATCTGCGAAATTAAATCCACGCATCGCGTGTGAAGAATGGTCCCTTGTTACAATGTCACAATTATATCAACCCCAGGGGGAATTAATGATGGAAAACAGTTAACTTTGCCCAAATTTGGCAATCCTAGGGGCCTAACTTAGGCCTTAAAAGGTTTTGTTCCAAGGCCTTGGTTAGTGCCAAAGTACTCTTCTTAATCTTTGCTGTGACGTTTTCTTTTTTTTTTTTTTTGGGGGGGGGGGGGGGAGGGGGTTTGGTTACATAGTTGCCGAAGTGCCAGACATCAACGAAAGGTGCCACTTTCAATGTGTATTCCATCTCTAAGTGGTAATTATCTAATGTTCTTGTTCTGAATGAATCGAAAACAAAAGTTATTTCTCTTGATGGAAAACATGACATTATGCAGTTCCGCTACACTTTAGATCATACATAGGTAAATTACTTCCAAAATGAAATGAAATTACAATTGCAATTACTTTGCTCCAAAGTAGTTTAATTTCAGTTACAATTGCTACTACGTGAAAAGTCATTAATTAGAATTACAAATTACTTTTAAAATGTAATAAAATTCCTTTACAATTACTTATTTCTGAGAGCGACCCGACTTGGGTCAAATAAATCTAAACGAGTTGCACAGGATGCAACGCATTTGCTTATTCTTGCCCCAATGTTTGATGAGGCTTAACGCTGCATAAATGTCACGTATATAGTACTTTCCTTTTATGAATTTCGCTAAATTCATGAAAGAGCTGGACAGTTTGGGGCAGTGAAATACTACGTTCTTATATTTCTAATAAATAATAATAAATTAGTTCATTCGCTGGAATTCGCCAGAGCGCTAAAGAAAAAAATTGGGTTGACAGACTTTTAATTGCCAGGCAAATAAAAATGTGACAATTCCTGATATATGAATATTTCACAAGTGTTAATATAAAACTAAAGTCCACAAGCGATAATACGACTACAATCACATACAAACATCATGTTATCGTAAATTATTTACTTTGAGTTGAAATTATAATGGCTCAGAAATATATAAGTACCGAATCGGGGCTCCCTAATCATTGGTGACAATATTCACAGGTGCGAGGCCAGTCTCCAAAATGCTTATGCAAATACCATCCGAAGTAAAACCACCAAGAAATAAACTTGAAAATAATACAAAGATACAAATATGAGATAGTACTGAAAGATGGACGTAAAAAACTGGCAAAAAATCGAAAAATAACTTCGTAGACATAGAATTGCCAACCTCGGCTGAAAGCTGACGCTCAATTTATTTTCTTTCAATATTTTGGCATGTTTACGCTATTGAAATTTTCTGCTCGCACCGCAGACGGCGCTACGCGGCGCCACTGAGGTAGGCTCCAAAGAGGATTGTCTCTCAGCCCCCAGTGTAGGCAAAAAAAAAAAAAAAAAAAGTAATAATGCGACGCTAAGAGGTTCCGGCGACGCCGCAAAAACTTGCAAAAGTAGTTGTGCCTGGTATTTTGCAATTACTGATGCTAGATCGTAATTAAACTACAATTCATCTTAGCTGAAAGTAATTAATTACAATTACAAATTACCAAAAAGTAAATAGATTATCGTAATTAAATTTCTGTAATTCAATTACTACCCAAGTATGCTTTAGGTACTACAGTTATTAGTCGTGTGTTTCTGATTCGGGACCGGGGTGTTTATAGATACTAAGATTTCGTTTTATCTGGTTACGCATATTATCAATTCGTCTCTACCCGTTTTAGGTGTCATAACGCGTATGTCTAACAACTTTAGGAACCCGCTTTTTTTTTCTCTCATATTATCTCGTCCCCTTATGTGAAGCCGCTTTGAATGTGCCTCAGCCATTGGGAACTCAAGAGTTACGAAGAGGGAAACGGAACTCGGTCTACGTATTCCTCGTTCTTTGTCCTCCGTACTTTTAGCGCTGTTTTTCCTCTTCGTAACTCTTCCAAAGCATGTCACGCGCATTGAAATTATGATGCCCCGAAATGACGTTCCCACCCACACGACTCTTTCCTCGCAGGTCCTTCCCCGCGAGGCCCGAATGCTTCCGCTGGGCAGAAGAGTGCACCAACGCCACGGTGAAAGAGTTCCTCGCCCGTGTCGAGTCGAGCTACGAGCTCGCCTACAATGCGGTCAGCGACAGAAGCGTCTTCAAGGGTAAGGAAACTCTCGTGGGAAAGACTAGCCTATGATTACTGTCGGACTATGGCTCGGGAGTCTGTTCCCAATATAAACTCCGATGACCACGGCTATTTACAAAATTGCACAACTATGATTATTTGGCGTCATCGTATCTAAAGATTTACCACTAGAATATACGCATCTCTTAAATTCTACCAGACTTCATAAAGTAGTGTTTTAGTGATTGGAGCAAGAACAGAAAAATAAAGAAAGAGGGGAAGTTCGGAGTCTGTTAATTGCTATGAGTTCTCTAAGGTGTTAATTTAGGCGAGTTGTCTGCGCGGCAATGAAGTACAGCAGTCGCTTTGTTTGCTCCTTTTACAACGCTTTCGCTGAAAGACGCTGATAAGGGATGGCATTGTCTAAATGACACCAGGACAAGGCTGCCGATATAAAAAGCTGTCGAATTCAAGAGAGTGATACTGATATCATAGTCTCTTTCACCCTAAGTGTGAGCATAGCAGAAGGTACAGGAGCGAGCTCTAGGCTCTTAGTGTCTTCTATACTGTCGAGACCGGTTATAACGAAGGCAACGGGAATCGGTAATTCCTTCGCTATATCCGCTATTTCGTTATAACTAACTTCGGTTATAACGCTCGAAGTGCAAACGGGAATGGGAAATCGTGATCGCTTCACTATAGCCACTATTTCGTTATAACCGACTTCGGTTATAACCGGTCTCGACAATATACATCTTTATGTCGCGTGACCTATGCTACACAGGACTACATAGTCCTTTCGACCAATTAAAACGTTCGCCTCTTAAATGTTCCATGCATTAGAGGACTGGCCACTGCCAAGTTTTGGTCTAATTGAATTCTGAGCTCCGTCATTTGCAGGAATCCTGGTATTGTTCGCGGTGATTTGTTGCCTCAAGTTTTACGGAAAAGTGAACTCGCAGTCTTTTTTTTTTTTTTTGGGTGCACTGTATTTTTAGGTGTCGCGCTGATGTTGAGCACAACCATGAACATATCTCGTTTTCCCGTGCATTTGCAGATCTCGTGACGGCGTACAAATGCTACGACGTGGAGCGCTTCACCCCTTGCATGTCGAAGGCTATCCGAGATTTCTTCACACTGCCCCTCAAGGACTCGATGGCCGGCATCAAAAAATACGCCGGGTAACGCGCCCACTTGCTTTTCCCACGAACTACTTCATAATCGGAAAGGACAGAAATTTGACTTTCGAGAACAACCACGTTTTCCAAAACGAAAGCACGTTGTTGTTTCAAATGGAAATTGAATGCGTGGAAGAAAACAATACTAATAACATCGCCCCCCCCCCCCCCCCCCCCCCCCCAAATTACCAAAGCATCAAGGAGAATGCCGGGAATGGGTTCCACGCGCCGCACGTGCGAGCGTCTACAGCAGTAACTGTTCTAAAGCAAAAGCCTAAAACAAATGGCATCTTGCACGCACTCTCGTCAACGCTTTATTTTGGTTATTTACTTCGAATCTTTTATACGGGGAAGGCGTACGCGTGCGGCGGTGCGAGCGTAATTTTTAGTCACTGTGGATGAAAAATCTACGAAACCCTAGCCATAAACGGCTTCGCTCTACAATAAGGAGTATTCACTGGCCGCCATATTTATGGGTGCTGCTTAGAGCGCATGCTCAGAGCGAGCCCACATTAATAGGTTGCTAAGACCGGCAATCTTGAGGGTGCGGAATGCACGTTACAAAAGAACTGTGGAAGCTCGCCATCAGCACGCGCTGAGCAGTCGCGGATGTTTCGGTGGCTCCCTCTTATGGTTTTCCTCCGTGACGTCACGACTGGGATTTGCCTCGCCGTGACGTCACCAGTTGTTATTCTGGTTACTTACCTTCAGGTGCGACGACGAGTTCAATGGGGTGTTTAAAAAGCACAGCGCAAGCTAAGAGCCATCGCAATCCGAAACTAACGCCGTCAAAGTTGACAATGTGACAGTGCTCATATGCCCATGGTTTGGCCAATCGTGGAAAGCTGACCACAGCGACGCTTTTGGCCGCGCACGTCGCTAATGGCCGCCAGTGAATACTTCCTATACTTGCTCTTGTCCCTCCAGGTACTTGACCAAGACCACTCAGGCCTGCCTGGTCGCCACCGAGACGTGTCCCGAGGGTGCCGACGCCGGCAAGGAGCGGGCGCTCAAACTGCTCCTGGCATTCGCGCAAATCTGGAGCTGAGCGTGAAGGGCACCGCGGGACAACGCCTCTCGTAAACACGGACGGCTTAAAACAAAAACAAAATAAAAAAGAACGGATCGTGGTTTGTTAATGTTTATTCACGCCTTCTGATTGGTTCTTCGGCGTTGTGATCGGTAGATGCTGCAATCTCACTGGGCGCGCGTCACGCGCAGCGCGTGGTGCTAAATTGCGAAAGGAGGCCAATGAAGGGACTCGTGTTCGCATTGATTGGACACGAGTTTGGAGCGAATGGTCGCGCGCGGCACTTGTGTCGAATTTGTGCCACGCGCTGGCCTTCTGTAGCTGACGTCCGCAACCCAGCACAACGGCCTTGCTTTCTAGAGAAGTGTTACTACGCGAAAGTGTGGACGTCTCTTGTTCAGTGAACAGAGAACAACGAAATAAATTGCTGAATGTCAGAAAGGGCCTATGGACCGTTCATTTTCTTTCGTTCCCTGACGCCCTATAAAACTAAAACCGTGCAGTGCAGCTAAAGCTACAGGGGCGAGAGTGTATCGCGACCTGCTCAAGAGGAGGGAAAGGAGGAAAGGGGAATTCCGGCCCTTCCCTCCTGTTCCTTCTCTCCCTCCTCTTGAACAGGTTGGCAAACGCTGTCTCGCCTGTAGCTTTGGTTAAAGGAGTCATGAAACGCTTTTTCAACTTTTTTCTGTTTAGCTTTCCTCCTCAACTCATAAATCGCGCATTGTACCAAACAGTTCAAGAAGTCGGAAAGAAGGGAGTCCCCTCTTGCTCGGAATCTCGCTTGTGTAGCCCAAAGTCCAGTGACTTTAGTGTAGCCCGGACACAGCCATTGTCCCCCTAGAAGATTAGCCCTTCGCTCAAAATTCCGACTAGTTGCTTTCCCCACCCCGTTCACCCCGAAGCTGACAGTGCTGTGGAAGCTACGTGCTGGTTGAGCCAGCCACACATTTTCCACGTGATCACGCCCTCTCGCGCATACCGACCCGCAGAGACTGAGGTCAGGTGATGAAAGGGAGGCGGCTGATTGGTCCGGCAAGCGCGTAGCTTCCACCGCAATGTCAGCTTAGGGGTAAAGGGATTAAGTGAGGTCCGGTGTCGTGTGACGTGCGCTTGGGCCCTGGTGACGCGCTGCGGGGGCCCGGTTATGGTGGCTAGTAGCCCGGTGACGCGCTGCGGGGTCCGCGGATGTATCCCAGTGAAAAGGCGGAGAGTTTACGAAGGGAAGGAGGTACGAAATAGTCCGCTATGTTTTGCAAATTTTCGTAGCGAAAGTCAGGCTTCTTAGTGTTTGAACAGCGCAAAGACGACAGGAAGATAGAAGAGAAGAGGACAGGACGAGCGCTGACTTTCTACCTTTGTTCTTTTGGCCCACTGAACGATGTGCTATTAGTAAAATCCGAATATAAATTGATTTACTCCAGCCCGAAAATCGTTTCATGGGTCCTTTAAACTGGGGGGCTATGTTCGACAAATGTTTCGTTCCTCCTAAAAAGAAACGGAAGTGACGGAAATGACGAGATCGCGTCTGATTGACTAGAGGTTCAAATGACGAAAGAGGGAACTTTCGTCCCTCTTTCGTAGATCGAGTTGCGAATGTTCTACGCGGTTCCCGGACATTTCATCGAACGCCGTTTCGTCGAACGCCGTTTCATCGAAAAAATGGACGTTTCATCGAACGCCGTTTCATCGAACGCTTTTTCATCGAATCGCTGACGGCCGTTTCATCAAATGTCTTTTAAATAAAACGTGTGAAAGATGTTCTTTTATGCACGGATCGAGTGCATTTTCGTGTCATTGACCCATTTCATTGTCTGTTTTTTTAATGTCCAAACTTGTAGCTGTTACAATTTATTTTGATGCAAGTAACCCATGAAGATATTTGTCTCGATCTTTATGTTTGTTTCGCATATTGTGCGTATCTGTTCACCCCCTCTGTATTACCCGATTGGCCTTGAGGGTATTGTAACAAATAAATAAAAAGTCGCACTCCCGGTGAGAGCGCACTCCAACTCATGGAGGCCAGAAGGCGACATAGGTTTTGCGCAGGCGCAACAACTTTAGCCATGTGAGCCTCCTAGCCTCTCATGTCTTTCTATCGATACTTTTTTACTGCCCGAAGCTTGCAGTAGCTAAAGCTGAGGTGCTGTTTATGAAACTACAACCAAACATTGTTTTTTTAGTTTTAAGACTCAATAAAGTCAAAAGTAAGTACGTCACTTCAAAATTTTATTTCAAAGCTTTCGGGGCTTCATGCGTTCGTGCGACATCCATTCACCGTTTCTAATGATGAGGAATTTCTCTCAAAAAGTCCCCCACAGCCATGGTCCGTCGGTTCTCATATAAAAAAGGCGGACCTTCACATTCCTTTCCGCTATATGGCCATCTCCTGGCGAGGAGGCTCTTGGGAACTCAGCATCGCCTCCAGCTTGTCTTCCGTCAGTTGATGTTCTGTGGCGATGCAAGTCAAAAACTTCCAGGACCTGGGATGGGCACCTCCGACCAGCTTCAGGAAGCGGGAATGCCACCCTGGCGTTCGATAAGACGGCGTTCGATAAAACGGCGTTCGATGAAACGGCTTCGATGAAACGGTGTTCGATGAAACGGCGTTCGATGAAACGGCATTCGATGAAACGGCTTCGATGAAACGGCGTTCGACGAAACGGCATTCGATGAAATGTCCGGGCCCAGTTCTACGCGAGGAACGTTCTTGGCCGAATGTCCCAGAAACCCACGAGGCTACAAAAGGTGCTCCGCGTTACAAGCCCGAGTCAGTCTCGCCCCAGCGTTCGATCCACTAACAATGACGTCATAAGAAGGACTTGTCTTCTAGGCAGCATTGCTCAATCTCGCTAGATGCATGCAGTGCTGTCGGAGCTATGGGCGGGAGAAAGAGGAAAGGCGCTTTTGTTGGAATGTTGAGCGACGGGAGTCTCATAATGGAAGAAAAGCGATGTCTGAGATGCACAAAAAGAGGGGAGTTCTTCCTTTCCGTCCTCTCCAACTGCTCGGGTTACGCTCTCGCCACTGCAGCTGTGTAAAGAACTATCACGTCCTTCGCCTCCGTCGTTCTGATTAGTTCCAAGAGACCGTGGCGTACACTTCTTGCAAAGCTGCGGAGAAACGAAGTATAGGCCATACAAAGAACAGGCTTTACAGGTATGCTAAGCTTTCTTTGCATGGCTTGCGAAGGCGTCTTGGATACCATCCAGCGGGACCGCCGAATTTTCGCTGAGACATCATTAGGTCTCCAAAGGCATACAGCTGTATCTTAACAAAAATCAGCTGACACTCTCTTAGGCGTCCAGAAGGCAGGGTTGCCAGGTAGGTTCCAGCTCAAACCGCCAAATGCCAGACGGTGTAGCCCAAAAGTAGCCAAATGCAAGAGATTTATATAGCCCAAAAGTAACCCTAATTGAGATATCTAGAGAAACCAAAATATCGTGAGCTCGAACGTACAAGTTCAAGGCGAAGGCACTGCGTCTGCATATCTAGGGTTTAGGAGCATGCTTGCAACATCTACGACATCTTGAAATGTATTGATTACATTTTATTTAAAACACAAACAAAATGTTCCACACGCGTTTTTACGGTTACATAGTTATGAAACCCTCGCCCGTGCTCGGCTGACTCGGCTGCATCGCCTCACACGATTTCCGTGTTAAAACGGGTAAAAACTAATTCAGTGGGATTGATGTCCTTAGAGCACGCGTTCTTCTCAAGGAAAGCAAACTTTACATAGAGGTTGTTTTGAAGAGTTGGAAGGGACATCCCATTTCTTAGGTCTGATTTTGTGAAAGACGAGTGACTGAATACTCTCTGCTCGGCGGCATTCGACATGCAGCGTCAGGAGCGCAATGACAAGCTCGGATAGCAACGGAAACATGGCTGCCCTTGCACTTCGAACGGTCATGTTCAGATTATTTATTGTCCTTAATTTGTTGTTCAATGGTATGGCTCATTGTGCTTTAAGAAACTTTGATGTTTCGCGGAAAAGCCTTTGTTACATACGGTACAGCATGAGTTATCGGACGACATCAAATTCAGCTAGATGTCTTGAGTTGCCTTTTGTGTCATTTTTTCTCGGAAGAGGTACCTCCTGGGTGGATGGTGGGAAACTCGAGGAAATAAAAGACGGCAGTAGGAAGGGGAAGAACTTTGGAGCATAAGATAAGCCACAATGAATACAAAAGCGATATTTCAGAGCTGTAGCTCGCTGGAGCTAATAGGATATTGCGTCCCGACCACGCATCTTCACAAAAAAAAAATAATAATAAATAAAAAGTAAAGATTTTTGAGAGCGGGAATCCGGAAAAGGTGGACTGTCGCTTTGTATAATTACTGAAGTGTCTTTTGTAAATCTACTCTAAACCAAGCAAAAAACAAAATTACGGCTTTAGGATTTTAACTATAGCCACACAGCCAACCGCCAAATTTCGACGCCAAATGAACTACAAAGTAGCCCCATTTGGCTATTAATAGCCCAACCTGGTAACCCTGTCAGGAGGTCTCCAAGTTTCTCCTACCAGCGTCATTTACTTCTCTGGCTTGTCTGAAGCTCTCCGCAAATTTCACCAGGAGATTTTGTTTTTCACAAATTGATTTTGAGATTAATTTTTTTTGTTGGTTCTCACCTCGTTAATCTACACTGAATTGGAATAAACGTGCAACGCAAACGCAAAAGCAAACTGGGGCGCTTGAGTCATTTAGTTGCCTTCCTCACATCAATTATATAAACGACTCCGTTAGGCCCATGTCCCCTCCGTCAAATGCCGTCGACTTCGACGGTATGAACTGGCTCTTTCGTGAAAGTATTACGAGCACGTAGAATGTCGCTAAGGATCGGAACAGTTTTAAATATCGATGGAAGTGTATTCTGCGGTCACTGCTGTGTCCCCCGCAAGACGTGACCAAAAATTTGGACAAATGAAAAGTGCCTGTTCGTTTTCCGCAGCCGCGTTTATATGAGCAGGGTAAGGAACCTGTTCATGTAATCCGCCTGGCCAGCGCGCTGAAGTAAGAGCACTGTTCCAACAACTATAAAGACGCTGAGGAACTTTGGACACTAAGGAAACTTTGGACACTTAGACGGAAAATAAAGTTTTCCGGTGCAGACCT